GCCCTCTATGACCACAGGCGGAGACCTAAGCCAGAGTCAGGGAGACTCCACAGGGAGGTGGGCAAGCAGCTCATAAACAGAAATGAGAGGGTCAGCCTGTGGCTCACTCGGGAGAGTGTGGCTCACTTGGGAGAGTGTGGTCCTGATAACAGCAAGGCCACGGGTTCAGATCCCATATAGGGATGGCCGGTTAGCTCACTGGGTGAGCGTGGTGCTGACAACACCAAGTCAAGGGTTAAGATCCCCTTACAGGTCATCTTTTTTTAAAAAAAAACAGATAAGAGCACTGCTCTGGGCAGTAGTGAGCAACTCCCTCCTGGCGTGCTTTTCCTTGGATTTGTCTTTCTTTGCTTCTTCCTTCTCTCAGAGTAGTAAAACATGACTCTTTAAGAATAAAATCCAGGGCCGGCCCGGTGGCGCACTGGAGAGTTCGCCGCTTGGGAGTGCGGTGGCGCTCCCGCCGAGGGTTCGGATCCCATGTGGAGACCGGTTCCCGCTCACTGGCTGAGCGCGGTGCGGGTGCAACACTGAGGGTTGCGATCCCGTTACCGGTCAGTAAAAAAGACAACACGGAAAAAAAAAAAAAGAATAAAATCCAGTTAAAACAAAGAGCTGGGATTTGGGAAGCAAGTTTACATTTGGAGAGAGCACTGGAAGAAACCTCAGGACAAGTATAAGCCTAATGCACAATTCCCCACGGAGACAAGCAGAATCCCGACATGTGTGTCTGAGGCCGTAGCAGGCGCAGGGCAGCTGAGCAGCTGTGGGGAGTGATTGACTCACAGAGAAAACGAGGCTCGCCACCCTGGGACAGAAACCAACAGACTAAACCTGGTCCTGGTAGGGTTAAGGATCTACATCTAGGAATGAAGGCGTTTATCTCACCGTAGGCAGACTATAGGATACAGGCTTTGGACAGGAGGTTCCAGGAACTGAGGAACAGCAAAGCATCCACTCCCTCCAGGTTCTTTTTTTGGCCTCTATCCCATTTCTCAGCCAAGGCTGAGGTGCTGTTACATTTCTCCAGAAGAAATGGCATCAGGCCCTGATGTTGTAGGAAATGAACTTATGGAAAAGAAAGTTGCTGCTGCCATCAGAGTCAGGATGGGTTCCCAAGACTTGGGGAATTCAAGGCCACAGAGAAGTTATTTTGCAGTTTTCAGCAGATCCTACAAGGGCCATCCCTATTTGGAGTCACGTTGGTGGACGGTGACAGCCCCAGGCCTCATTCCCACACCAGTCTCATTTCCCTCCACTTACTCTCAACCCACCCAGGTCAAACCACACTCACACAGGAAGTGCCGCAGAGCTTCTTCCCCTAGGTTGTGGCTAAGTTTCCGTGATTCCCAGGAGTCATTCAGGGGGCAGTTCTGGGGGCCAGTCATCGGCTGGTTCTCCAGAACTGGCTGGAATCATCCCATACCCAAACCCCCACCATTCATTCCTCATCTATATCATTGGTGACATCAAAAGAGGCCTACCTGCAACCAGCTCCTGAACTTGACTTCCACTCTGCAAAGTACAATAAACACCTGGGCTCAGGATTCCTTGGAATCCAGGAACTAGGATTCACATCCTGTGGTTCTAGGCAAACACTGGAAAACTGCTGATACCCCCAAACTTGCTAAGCTCTGTCCCAGCTAACGTCCACTGATGTTACTCTGGCAAGTGTGGTTCTGAAAGAAACTCAGAATCATCAAGAAACGTCGTCCATCAGCTTTTGCAAATGGATAACTAGAGACTTCAAGGAAAGGTTGTGGGAATGACTGCCAATGGACATGGAATTCATTTTGGGGTGACAAATATGTTCTAAAACGAGATAGTGATGATGGCAGCGCACTTTGTGAATATACTCAAAACCACCGAATTGTCCATTTCAAAAGGGTGAATCTTGTTTTGCAATGAGGAATATGCTAATTCCCTGATTAGGTCATCACACATTGCATACATGTATTAAAATATAACTCTGTACACCGTAAATATGTACAATCAATATGTTTCAATAAAAAATTAATTTAAAAGTTTAAAGTGTGAATTTTATGGTATGTGAATTACGTACAGCTCAATTTTTTAAAAGGTTCGCTAAATAATTGCAAGAAGTAGAAGAAATAGAAGCAGAGCCTAGATCGGGATTTCCTTCCAGGCAGATTGGTTCTTGTTTGGCTGACACCTATTTGGCCCTTGCATAAGATATTTTCCCCTCCTCCGTCCTCCCTCGCCCCTCCTACTTTGCTCCCTCTCACTCCCCCCTCCCGCCTCCCCCTCCTTGGAATTATACTGATAAACTGAAAAATATAGTTATAAGTTTTTCCTGGCAGACTCCCACACCTTGAAAACACAATTTCAGGTATCAAATCCTCCAGAAAGTTCCCCTGATCCCTTCCTCGCTGACAAGTTAAGTGCCACCTGGAGTAAATGCCCTTTACTTACCTATGACCAACACTCTATAGTAAAATTAGCCATCTGCCTGTCACCTCCCACTAGCACAGCCTTGACACGTAAGAAGTGCATGAGAAATGTGTATTGAATGAACTAAACCCTGGATCATTATCCTATTAGGTTTGTTTTTTTAATTAGTATCTTTTCTTTTTAATTAGTATCTTTTCTTTTTAATGTACCTAGTTTAATATTGCAACATTGCATTTCTGCAACATGTAGCCAATAATTTGCTACCTAAAACAACAGAATATTATAAAATGTTTTCTCCAAGAGAATGTGTTCATTCATGCCAGGAATAAATCAAATGTGCCCTTTGAGGGATTTTACCTCCGTACGGGTGAAAAGGGAGAATGAATCACGGCATCAGTACCTGTGGTTCCTGGTGGGTAAGAAGATAAAACATATTCTCCTCTCCCTTTCTTTTCCCTGAAAATCTTTAAATACCACAAAGCTTTTAAGCGATCATTAAGTCTATATAAAATCACCATAGAACCAGGAGTCTTTTTCTGCCTTTCCTCTTCACTACTGTTCAAAGATTTTCCTAGAAAGCCAAAGAGCTATATTATCATGACATGCTGTAAATAGAGTTCAGATAATAGAGAAGCCACTGCAAATTAGGAAGGTTTTTCCCTCCTCTTGTATTTTACCAAAATATGCCCAGAAATCTGACCTACAAGCTACTGTGATCCCAAAAGTCATGCTTCTCATTCAGCTTATTCCTATGGGAGGAAGCCCACATCTCTAATAGGGACCTCACTCTAACCTCCTGGGAGCCAACAGCTCGGGACCCACCGCTGGGCCCTAAGTGGGTAGTGTGCTCAGAGCTGATGAGTGCCAGAGTCACTCCAAGGATGTCCCACCTGTGGTTACAGGAACCTGCATGTGGCACAGCATCTCTAGGACTCCCTCCTCATTTTTCATTATAAAAATGTTTGAACACACAGAACCAGAAAAAGAATGAACGCCCATAGTCCTACATCCCAAGATTCAACAATTGTTCACATTTTTGCCATTTAAAGTTGTTTACAGAGTAAAGTAACACTAGATACTTCAATGATAACACCCCTAGATATTTTAGGATACTAGCATTTCCCAAAATAGAAATATTGCCTTAGGGCCGGCCCGGTGGCGCACTGCTACAGTGCACCACTTGGGAGCCAGTGGCGCTCCCGCCGAGGGTTCGGATCCCACATACAGACCGGTTCCCGCTCACTGGCTGAGCGAGGTGTGGGTGCAACACCGAGGGTTGCGATCCCGTTGCCGGTCCCGGTCCGGTGCAGGCGCGACACTGAGGGTTGCGATCCGTTGCCGGACACGAAAAAAGACAAAAAGAAAAAAAAAAAAAAAAAAGAAATATCGCCTTATACACCACAATATTATCATCCCACCTAACAAAAATTAACAATAATTCCCTAATACATAATAACTAATATTCAGTTCCTGTCCAAATTTCCCTCTTAGTTATTCTTAAAGGAGAGCCTCTCCCTTAATCACACCCTGTCTGGGCCTGCCCTCTCCCTGCTCGATAGCCCAGATACTGCCCTGTTGTCACCAGGTTGCCCACACCACAGTCCCTTCCTGGCGTACCTGTACAAAAGGTGCCGTCATTGGGAATGAATGTCTTCTTGTTGTTTGTGGCTCGATATCCTTCCAGGCAAATGCAGTAGAAGCCTCCGGGTGTGTTGTGGCAAGATGTGTGGTTCCCACAGACCAGAGTGGCTCCAAACTGGCACTCATTTTTATCTGTTGATATGTAGAGACAGCGCCCAGAAAAGGCTGTCAGTCCTCGCGATGTTCCACAACCCAGACTGTCCTCCTGTGCTACAGACTCGTGAATCAATATTGTGACAACAGCTTAATTCAGCAGCTATTTCCCTGGCCTCTTTTCCTTTCATCTGTGCTTCCCAGACTAGAAGACATGGGCCCCTCAGAGTTATGCACCAGGTGTAGACGAAACCACAAGAGAAACACAAAATCTCAATATGGCAATCCATCGTGTTTGAAGATTGGGAGAAGGGGATTCTTTTTGAACTTTTTCACACTTAAAAAGATCTTGTCATAGGCCAGAGGAAATAAATCCAGCACAATCCCACGTTTCCAGCTCAGCTATTCTCTTGGTTTTTCATGAAAGCCAGAGTAGGACAATTTTACATCCAATGATTAAGTGGAAAAATTGTTACTTCTGAGTTAACCAGGAAACACAATGGAATTAGTGCTGAAGCCTCATCCGGGAGCAGGGCTAATATGGTGGCAGGAACAGCTCATGATAATTGTCAGTGACCCATGTGAATAATGTTAGTCACCCTGTAAGGAGGGGCTGGAATACTGGCTGTGCGATGAGTCCACAGAAGCCTGCTCTGAATGTTTTTAAGTAAACAACTTGAAATCGAAAGACATACAGCGAAGGCAAATCTCCCTCCCATCTCTGTCCTCTAGCCTAGGGGTCAGCAGGCTTTTGCTCACGTCTCTGCTGCAGCTATTCACCCTGCCATTGGAGCACAAAAGCAGCCATAAACAACAGGTAAACTAATGAGCAATGCTATGTTCCAATAAAACTCTATTTACAAAAACAGGCAGTGGGTCAAATTTGGCCCGTGGGCTATATTGTGCCAACCCTGCCCTACCTGTAACTTCAGAGGAAACCCCTATGACCAATTTCTTTTGCTTCCTTTTAGACCTGATCTATCCAGCTAATCTGGACGGGGGGGGCGATCATCAATTTATGAGCTGGTAGTTTTTTGCTTTGCTTGTTACTTAGTGTTTGATTTTACCATTGGTTCCCACAAATCAATTTAATGGTGTTGGGAAAACATAGGAAAATGGTCGGGGCCCCTCAGATGTTCAGCATCTTGCTGAGCATTTGCTGTGGGCAGGTTGTGTGTGAGTGGAGTTAGTGCACCTGCGTGGTGCCACCGCCTTGGCTGGAGTTTACTGCCTCGGGTGGCTGTCCCCGCTTGAGCGGCCATACCTTTCCAGCCTGTGGCTTCCAAGGACCTGTTTGCCAGTTGCCTAGCTCGTGGACCTGCGTGTAAAGGATCTGGTGACTAGCCTGGCATGTGAGGAGTCTGGTGACCCAGCCTGGTGTGTGAAGGGTTTGTAACACAGTTGGGACAGGATTACAGGCAGGTAAAAGAGCCAGATAACTGGCGTGGTCGTGTAGCTTTATAATTGGCGTCACGAACAGGATTAAGAGCTCTACAATTGGTGATGTCAACAGGATTCCGACACTAGCCTTAGCTTGACAAATGGCCTCTCACAATTGCGCTCCATTCCTGCTAACCCAAAAGTACCTCCAAAAAACCTGTTGTTGTTTTCTTTAATATTACCTTTTTAAAATTTAATTGAACCTAGAACGTGATTCATATCAAAATTTTCTGTAGTAAGATTTGCATGAGAGCTTAGAGAGACAGAACAGGCAGGCCCTCAAGCTGCAGATAGGCCAAGTGTCCAGCCCAGTTACAGAACACTACACAGTGGTTTCAGCCACAAGCCCAGCTGCCCATAAAATGGGAAGTCCTCTCCTTTGCCATGGTTTCTGAGATATGTCTCCCTTGCAGACTTCAGTGGAAGGGAAAATTGGGGCTGTAGAGGATTCTAGAATTCTCAGGTCCCTTGGCTTAACACCATGTGATAGCACCTCTGGTACATGTATAACCCACCTGTAACCTGTGATCCAGTCTCAGCAGGCCAAATACTGGGCTATGCAGTGTCTGGTGTTTGGGAGCAAGTACTGTAGAAATTAATAAAGCCCCCTCCTCCCATTAAGAGAGGCTTCTATTCAAAAATCAAAGGGCTATCAAGAGTACAGCTAGCAGGGGGCTGGCCAGTTAGCTCAGCTGGTTAGAGCGTGGTGCCGATAACACCAAGGTCAAGTGTTCAGATCTTTTTTTTTTTTAAAAAAAAAAAAAGGAGGAGAGCTAGCATTCATGAGAGGAGGAAATCATCCAGGGAGGAGGCAGAAAAGCTTGCTCCTCAACTCTAACTTCATTTCCATGCTAGCAATTGAGGGTGGGCAGTAGGGGGAGCAAAAATTCCTGCAGGAACCTCAGACTGTAGGGCAGCCACGCTTCTCATGGGGAGAACTCTAAAGGGAAGGGATCAAAGAACGCACAACTCCAGCTTGCAGAATGGGCAATAGTGCATGACTATGAAAGTTTGTATCTCCAAAATGGAATATGACTTTTTGAACACAGAACTGAATTGTTATGCTTCTTTAGAGAGAAAAAAAGCACACACAAAGATATCACAACAAGGCTGTATACACCGTCTATCCACAACTGTAAGACAAAACTATCAATGTTTTCACTGCATGTAACAAGATTGCTGGGAAGAAACTGGGAAATTATTGCAACATTTACCATCATAAAATTGTTGTGAAACTCTCCCTTTCCCTGAATTGGGCTTGAACCTGGATATTGTCTCACTGTCGTGGATGAACAGGTACAAAATTGTGTTTTGTTTTTCTTCATGGTACTAATATAAGTAGTTTTGTATCAAAATAACCAGAGAAATTAAGAAATGCAATGTTCACTTGAGTTATTAAGTTAAACTCAAGGCTTAGAACAGATTTCAAATTTGTGTTGGGTCAGAGAGCTTCCAGAAATTCAAATTCAATGACCTCTAACATGAGAGATACTTCCTTAGAAACGCTAGCGAAAGGATACAGCCAAACACGAAAACAAAGACTTATTATAGTTGACAAAACTTCTTGTAATAAAAACATGTGAACAAGTTAACAATGTTTCCCCCAAAGGACATCAACTCTTTAACACCAGAGAATCTTGTTTCTTGATTCAACTTTTCAACTTAACCCAGGATTCAGAACTTACCAATGCACTGTGTCCTCCCATTGCCCACGAATCCATAGTTGCAAATACAGATCCTCCTCCCATCTCTTTCCTGGCATGTAGCGTGTTCATGGCACGTGGCACAGACATCTAAACCTGAATCACAAATTGTATATTTCAGAAAAAGAAAAGTTCAAAGTAAGATACATTTTGATGAGTGGACATTTATAATGGAGAACCAAAATTTGAATACCAAAATAAAACAGATCTAATCTCATCCTTATAAACCTCTAATTGGTAATCATTGCTCACAAAATAAAGTGCAAATTCCTTTATGTAGCAATCAATATTCTTAAAAATCTGACTCTAGACCAACTTCTCCAGCCTCATTGTTCCCAATCCCCAACCACACCCAGCACTGTCCAGGCAGATCTTCCCCTAAGACTGTCTTACTTTCATGCCATCATCACATGTTCCCTTTACCTAGAAGGCTGATGCCTCCTTCTCTACTTATTGATTTCTCTTCTCTATCTATAGTCAGCACCTACCCATATTTCAAGACCCAGCTTCAATGTCACATTCTTTCTGAGGTCTTCCCCATTCCTCCATTCTTAAAAAAAGTAAATGCCTCTTCCTCTGTGCTTCCCTAACACTTGTACATCCCAATATCAATCATGTTCATTTGTCATTATATTTAATTCCAGCTCTGTCTTCCCAGCTTGGTATTATGAATGAGCCGCTCAAAAACAGATAATGTCATTTGCCCATATGTTGTTATGGCACATAGACACTCAATCTATTTTTATTGACTGACCAGATAATGGAATCCAAAATCCTACCTGCTACAACTAAAAAAGCAAATGAAGTAGAGAGAAACACATGTGCCTATTCCTCAGTCCATTCCCCTTTTAGGGAAAAAGTGAATGTTTTTAAGATGGCAGTGAGATAATAGCCAAGTTCTAGCAGGATGACCAGATCCCAGTTACTTAGATAAACAGCACAAATGCTTGAGGCTAAAACTCCTAAAACATCCAAATCTACCAGATGGTGATACATGGCCCAAGATGAAACAAGAATTTCTACCCGAGGCAATGTGGGATATTGTGTTTCACTCTCAGCATCTCTGTAATTTCAGGAGGGGCCCAGTAAAGAGAACCTTTCCGGCATGGAATTTCATCTTCGTCTTGGCCCATTATTACCCAGGTACTACAGCCTAGCCCTCAAACTGCTCCAGGCATGAAACCAACTGAGACTGGGAGACTTGTAAATACTCTTCACCATGTTTGCTGCTTTGTTATAAATAAAAGAAAACACAGAAATGAGACAAACCACTAACCATCATGTAGTAATACCAAATTAACCATTGAATATTTACAAAATGTATTATATTTCAAACCATAAAAAAAAAATGCAACAAATTTCAAAGCAGTAAAACTTTTAGAGGCCATATTATCTGACCACCATGTAAAATGTAGTAAAACTACAAAAGAAAACATAATAATAGCATTTCCAAAAGAAACCTATTTGCAAACTACAGAACATTCTCCTAAATAATGCTTGGGACCAACAGGATATTAAAATTGAAATGTTTAATACTAGGTATAAAACTTGTATACTCCAGAAATTTTGAGTTTTATGTGTTTTTAGACTTTAAAAGAGAAAGAAAAACAGTCAAGGGGAAAAATTCCTAGAATTTTAATGCAACAAGCTTGAAAAAAAAGAAAATGGGACTTCAGGAATTAGTAAAGAAAAAAAGAAAGATGTGAAATAATTAGAAAATATAGTCATATACATTGGGGGAAAAAAAACTTTTCCCTAAAGTCAGTGCATTGTCAAGACCAGTAAAGTAGTCAAAACTAAAGAAAAACTGGTGAAGGAAAATGCACAAACATACAATATTAGGAATAAGAAAGGGCTTATAACAAAAAATACATAAAAGATTGCTTTTAATTATAAGAGAAAGACTTCTAGTTAAACACTATAGATTTAATATACTCTCAACCCCCGTCTTCTGAAAAAAATGACATGAAGGACTAGAAAGTTATAAACCCTGGAGAGAAGATGGTCGCAGACAAAGGATGTGAACAGTATTGCAGAAGGTGGGAAAGAGATCAACACATGGTGATGGCCTCAGCAAAGAGGAAGAACTAAAAGCCCAGAAAGCCTCAAGAATCAGAGTCCCCGAGTACCTCGGAAGACAGGAGGTACTTATGGGATAGGAATAAAAGCTCAAGGAACTGGTTGAAAATATCTACGGAGAGTAGTTAGATGCCCAGACCCTCTGACTGATGCTGGCACAGATGGAGTTTTACAGCTTGGAGGAAAGGAACCAGAAAGGCTCCATATTGCAGAGCAACGGGTAGAGTTGAAGTGAAGGTGAGTCCCCACACCTAGTGTCCATCCATACGGATTAAATATATTTAGCCATTTTAACATCTTAACTCATTAACACTTTAACAAATAACATTTTAGGGCTGACCAGTTAGCTCAGTTGGTTAGAGCATGGTGCTGATAGCACCAAGGTCCAGGGTTTAATCCCTGCACTGGCCAGATGACAAAAAAAAAAAAAAAAAAAAAAAAAAAAAAATTAAAACAGTGCTGTATTAGTCCTCTTGTGTTGCTTATAACAGGATACATGAAACTGGGTGATTTATAAAGAAAACGAAATTTATTGCTTACAATTTCTGAGGCTGGGAAGTCCAAAGTCCATCAAGTGGTGGCAACAATGACCTAGGGGTCTCACATTGCAAGATGGTGGAAGCAGAGAGAGCAAGAGAGAGAAAGACAGACACCTCTTCTTTTAGAGCCCTCAGAACCACACTCCACCATTTCTAATCCATTCACTACTGCACAGTCCTACAATCCAATCACGTCTTCAAGGCTCCACCTTTCAATTACCATAATAGGATTTTCCCACTCTTAACAGTCACAGTTGGGGCTGTTTCTAATATATAAAACTTGGGGGACACAATTTAAGCTTCTAGGGAACTTTGGGGGGGACATAATTCAATCCACTTTAAGTGCCATAAAGATTTGTCCATTTATAAAGACGTGCAACCAAAATCTTGGAAATACTCTTAAATAAGGGATCCTGGGAAAAGTTCAAAAACCCAGTTATGATCAACCATACAATGACGAATATTCTCCCCAATTTAATTTGTAGATAAAATGCAATCCACTAAAAACCCCAAATCTTGGGTACAGCATTTACGTTTGGAATAATTAAAAAGTTCTGGAGATGGATGGTGGTGACGGTCGCACAACAAAGTGAACGTACTTGATGCCTCTCAATTGTACACTTAAAAATGGTTAAAATGGTAAAAATTTATGGCATGTCTATTTTACCACAATAATAAAAAGATACAGAAAATTACATTTTAAAATCAACTTTATTGAGATAGAATGTATATACAATGCCCCCAAGTTTAAGTGTACAGTTCAGTAAGTATACAACCATAACAACTGTTTCAATCAGGACACAGAATATGTGAGTGCATAATTTGTTTATCCACACATCTGCTGATAGACATTTGGGGTTTTTTTTTGTTTTTTAATAGTTTTGCAACTGGCCAGCTCGCACACTTGGAAGAGCATGATGCTGACATAACACCAAGGTCAAGAGTTTGGATCCGGTACTGGCCAGCCACCATATATATATTTCACCTTGTTCAGCTGTGATTCCAAACAGGATCCAAGCAAGAGTTTCACAATCTGTTCTCTGGTTTTTATGGAGACTCACTCTACCCTTCTGTGTTAGTCTCTTAAAGCATTACATCAGCCTTGGAGGGCACAGGAAAGGGCGGGACTGTTTTCATTTGGGAACTACTATAATTAAAGCTGTAATTTTTTAAAAAGGAAAAAAACCCAAATCTTTATAGAGGAATTATTTTGTTTCAGGATTTCAAGTTTCTCATGATGCCACTGAGAGACAGTGGATAAAAGGCACAGAACAGCTTAACTAAAGTAACCCAAGCTAAGGAAGCCTACAAGAATCTTCCATCAAAAACCAAACAGGCACATTATAAGATGCTTCCCCAGTGAACAGGTAATATAAACTGTTTAAAGGCAAGAAAGATAAATAGACACTGAAATCACACACAAATATGTGTGTAGTGCCATAATAGATATAAACACTATATTAATGAAATTAACAATAAAAATGGGAAAATATTTAATTTTTTTCTTATATGGAACACTTGTCTTTATAAAAATGTAGCATTCATCTACATCCATTTCCGGAAACTTACATCAGATGGAAAATGACTATTTCTTGCAACTGTGGTGTTGGAAAAATATAGGAAAATGGTCAGGGCCCCTCAGATGTTCAGAATCTTGCCAAGTATTTGATGTAAATATGCACATGCACCCAGGTGTTCCTTGGTTATTGTCTAATGTAATTGCGCATGTGCACCCAGGTATCCTGGGTTATGGACTCAAGTATAAAGGATGAGTGGCTCTGATCCACAGGCCTCCTCACCCCCAGGATGCCTCCAGGGGGGTCATGGGGAGGCCGCTACTGCTGCTGGAGGCTGTTGCTGCAAGCTGTTGCTGCCAGGGCCCCCCAGACCCTCCGAGAGGCTGCCGCCACCTCCAGACCTGTAAGCTGCTGGACTTGTAAGCTGCTGCTGCCATTGCTGAGGACTGAGCTCGTGTCGTCTGCCAATGGCTCCTGGGCTCTTTCCCAATTACCTAGTGTGGACCTGCATGTGAGGGGTCTAGTGACCCAGCCTGGCATGTGAGGGGTCTTGTGAGCCAGTCTGTACAATGGGTTTGAAAGGTCTGAGCCCTAGCCCTGACAATACAAATGGAAACTTAGTATAACTAAAGTCATGAAACATTTTGGCTTTAGTTATGATTTGCCTTACTCGACAACTGGCATAGCCATGTAGCTTGACACATGGAGCAAATCTAATAAACATACAAAAAAAGTAATGAACAAAGAGGTGTGACTCAGATAAAGGAAGTTCACTCTGAATTAGTGAAGGATAGAATATAAATGTTTTAAAAGAAATTGAATTAAATTCAAGCTCATTCAATAAATAGGCCCAGTAAAACAAAATATGGCCTTGTAGGAAGGCAACCAGGTATCGGGGTAGGAAGGCAGCCAGGTATCGGGGTAGGAAGGCAGCCAGGTATCGGAGTAGGAAGGCA